AGTATCCTATTTAATAAGTAATTTATTTTTCTCATTTATCAGGGATTGTGGGATATATTTGCTAGCATTTACAGAGTACCTAAGTGAGGGTGAAGGTATTCCAGTTCAATACCTTGATTCTAAGTTATACCGCATCAGATACGTACGGTGCACTATTGTGGGAATATACAAATTTTAGAAGTTTTTGAAGAATCAGATTTGGTTCTATGATATATGATTTTGAATGTATAAAAAAAAAATCTTTCTAAATATGGTGTAAATAGAAGATAATGATTAATTTGAAAAGTGATATTGCAGAACAATTTGTTACAAGGATTTATAAAAACTAATATTCACTAACAATATCATTATGTTTACTACAAGTGTTTCTAACACATTATTCTTTTAAAAACTTAATTTGTTTTAACAAATATTTATCACCACGAAAAATGCACAAATTCTATTATAAATATTTTTATTGCCTAAATTTGAGGGGATAAGGGTCTGAAAAATATCTCAACTTTGGTCGGATTTGCTGTTGCGATACTAAACTTTCATGAGGACCTATTACCTCCCTAGACTATTTAATACCGTATTTTAAACATATATATTTGCCCACGTGGACATAAAAAATAATGCAAAATTATAAATAGTAATGTGTCCACGTGGGCACATATATACCTTTAAAATACACTATTAAATAGTTCAGGGGGGTAAAAAATGCGGTATTAAATAGTCTAAGGAGATAATAGGTCCTTGTGAAAGTTTAGTATCGCAACATTTAATCCGACCAAAGTTGGGGTATTTTTCAGACCCTTATCCCTTTATTTTACTATGAATTAATGTTGCAATTTTTATGAATTCCTTGTAAGTGGAGTATGGGGAGGGTGCATGGTGTATGCATGTCTTATTCCTACCGTTACCTTTGTGTGTAAGGTAATAATTTTTAATAGACCCTCAACTCTAGAGAAACGTTGTCAAAACAGAGTTGAAAAAATACCGAACTAAAAAATGATAAAGAAAAGAAAAGTATTAACAACAAAAATAATAAACCTAAGATAATCAAAGTATAAGTAATAATAATAGCAATGAAATTGATGAATAAATTCAAGGCCATATGATCTTGATCTTGAATTTTGATGATGAATTTAAAATGAAGACCTAAGTTTGATCTTGAATTATAGTCTTGATCTTCAATATTTTTTTAAGACCATCACCTTGGTTGTGTGCCATAGCATGTCCATTACTTAACCAAAAAATATACGTATTAAAACACTTAGATACATGTAGTTTGAAGAGATATTTATAGTCTTTGATTCACAAGCTTTCTCTGGTTTTTTGTTATCAGATATGGTTTCTTTGTGAATTATGAGGATCCCTATTTATAATTTATAATTTTATGGTGAAAGAGTTGTGACGAGAACAATCTTTTTTCGACCAATTAGATTGAAGTGATAATGACAATATTTGATTGTCAAGAACATGTAACATGTACACGTAACACATTGTCCTTCATATTTGATTTGACTAGGCATGTAGCGTCATTTTAACAAGTGTAATGATTTTATTGACTCTTTTTATTTGACTTTTGATCGATTAGATTGAAAATAATGACATGACGATATTTAATTGAATAGAACATGTTTGTTATACTCATAACACATTTTTATTGGTCTTTCATTTAATAGACATATTATATATGTCATTTTAATATACGACATGATTGTATTGACACTTTTGTTCGACTCTTTTGACCTATCACATTGAAATGTCACAACAATATTTGATTGAGTAGATCACTTGTAGGTAGTACATTTTCATAAATTTTTATTTTACTAGGTATAAAATAATATTTTAATACGTGACATGATTTTATTAATCTAAATTCGATAAAAATATAACTGATTACAGTTGCATAACTTATGCTTGATAAAATTCATTTCAGAAAATTTCTGAATGAAGGGTAAAATGCTCGTCAACAAAGGTGATTCCGTATTCATGGGGTGTCGAACATTTTTAATCGCGATATTTTCTAAAGTGTGCATTTTATTCAACATTTACCAAACAATTACACTTTTATTATTTTTACCCACAAAAAATCAGGAACAACTCAATATAATAATTTACCTAAAGTCAAAATTAAATAAGATATCATAAATATTTTGAATATAATTTTTAATTTTTTTTACTCTTTTAACCTTTTTTACATGTAAAACTATAAAGTTGTCTTTTCAAGGATTACTTCAATCAAATATTTCTTTATGTTGACAAATAAAATAAGGATGATTTAGAAAGTTGAGTTGAAAATAATATATAAAATTATCAGATACGGAAAAAAGCAGAATTGATGTGTGGGAACAACAAAATATGATCATAACCAACAGATTGGGTATATGTACAAATTTATGAGAGATAAAAGGATGTGTTTGGTATGGAGGAAAATATTTTCTGGAAATTTAACCTTATTTGCTCACCCATTCAAACAAATTTAGCGTTTTTTAGATTCAATTAAAAAAAAAATGACTTAATTAAAAATATTATATAGAGTTTTTTTTAGTTTAAGTTAGAACTAATTGCCACTTGACATGATAAATTAAAAACATGATAATATGAAAATAGATTTAATGCATTCTTATGCCACTACGAAAATTATTACCTTTTATATTAAAAAGACTTGAAATTGTTTTTTTTATCTTGAAAATGGTATCTAACTTTATAAATGATGATATAACTTTATTTGATATTTTAGAAGTTTAAAATTAAAGTACTTAAAATTATTATCTACCAATAAGTTTATTGAGAACAAGAACCAATGTATTGTATTGCAAAAAATGACTAACATTTTATTAGTTTGAGGGAACTTTTTTCAAGTTATATAATAAGATACTAACTTTTTACCTACAAAGTTATAAACTAAAAACATGTTTTACGTATGAATTCTATTATTTAACGAAAATAATTTCTTTTTGGAGTAGTTAACTTTTAAGAGCCTAAACTAACCATACCCTTGATCCAATCCTAACTAGGAAAAAAAATTTGTTTAAAAGATGAATATATATTTTAAATTACACATCATATATTAATTTATATAATATACATTATAATCTTTTTATATTATTAACCCATTCTTAAATTATCTTCCAATCAAACTATGTTCCAAAAATAAAAATACACCCAAAGATAGGATGCAAGAGGGATGACTTGTTGGCAGTATCCTTGAAAGGGGCTGGGCTTATGCTTTAAGTTTTTGGTTTTGCAAAAAAAAAATATGTCTATTGAATGAAAAAGTCTTTTACTTTCTTTTTTGAGTTTTTGAGGTTTGAATCAGTATTTTTAGGAATAATTTGTAAGGTCTAAATTTTCAATTGTTTTCACAACCTTAACTTACCCCACTTTTTTCTCTCTTTTTGTCACGTGTCTATTATTTTCTCAACAATGCGTAAGACCCACGCGATAAACTTATGTTTATTTTTTTTCTTTTGGTCAAAACTTATATTTATTTCGACATTTAATATGTGGTGTTTGCTTGTTAACCGCATTTGTTTTTATTTCACTTTTTCTTCTACCAAATTGACTTAACAAAGTCAAACTTGCATTATATGAAAGAGGAAAAAATTACTCAAGTAATCTTTTATCTTTGACCGGTGAGATTACATAATAAATTTAAATATATCTGGCAAAACTAATATTTTTAATTTAATAAATTACTCATATATTAGTAAATAAAGTACTTCTAAATAAAGGAAAAAATAGGAATTAAATTTTATAAATTTGATATTGATTTTTTTTAATTTGATAAGTTCTAAATTAAGGCGTAGCTTTTATTGATCTTAGAATGATAATTTGTATAACACTTGTATGTATGTTTAATTAAAAAGGACATAAATATAAAAGTATAATTTTTGCAATGATAAACTTATTTTACAAAATTATTATTTATTTTCTTTGTTTTAGTTTACGTAACACAATTAAAACTTCAAAAATTAAAATTTTAAATTTTGATAGTAAATGTAGACATATAATCTTTTAAGTTATTCTTTTTGAAATAAAATAGCAATTACATAAAAATTATTATAAGTCACAATAATTAACAATTTAAAATATCTAAAAAGCATATGAAAAAATTACCCTACAAAAATTGTTTAGATTTTGAAATACGAAAAGCAACTCGTAAATTAACTTGTTCATCACATAATTAGTTTGTATGATTTTAAGTTTGTTTATAATGAAAGTATGATGCTCATATACAAGCAAAAAAAAATTACGACATGCTGAAAAATATATTGACTAAATTGCTTTAAAATTTTTCAAAATCTGTAATTACCTACTAACTAGTAATTTCTCAAATTTTACAATCACCAACTTTCAGGTGACATGTTTAAGATCACAAGAATAAATAAACATATTGATACATTCTCCATATCTTTAATTTAAGATTACAAAAAAAAATTAATTTTTTTTTCCTTATACATCTTGGTCAAAGTCAAAAGCAAATAAATAAATTTCATATCAAATTAAAATTAGATAACTAAATTTAAAACAAAGAGAGCAACAAACAAAATTACATTCAAACAGACCATTTTTTTCCATATGATATTATCTCTATAACAAAGTAATAATGATAAATGAATAAAGAGGAAAAGAATAAGAATAATAATGAAAATTAGACTAAATTAGTTTTGTTCAAATCCACAAAATTAGTTGGAGAAGTTGAGTAAACACTCCCTTGTTAAGGGAGCGTGTTGACACGTGTCCCCTTCTTCTAATTCTTAAGCTGTGTTTGGTAGAATTTCCTTGAAAGGGAAATTTTCATGCAAAATTTCTCTTTGTTCACGTTTTAGTACTCTTTTTTCATACTCAATTTTGCCCTTTTTCCTTCTTCTACCTTAAAATTTCCCAAATTTTCCATAATTGCCCCTATTAATTCCGTTCTCATCCCAGAATTAATAAGCACTCCTTTATAAGCGAACGCCACTTCTCTCTCTCTCACTCACTCACTCTTTCTTCGTTCTGTTTCTCTCCGTTTTAGTATCGCAAAAGCAAAAACACCAATTCCGAAACGAAACGCTTTTTTTCTTTTGAATTTTGTTGCCGGCGTCAATGGCGGTTCCTCCGACTGTCCTTGCAACGCCATCATCATTGTACGTTGGTGATCTTCACCACGATGTTTCCGATGGACAACTATTTGATTTTTTTTCAGAGTTTAAAAGCCTTGCTTCCGTTCGCGTCTGCCGTGATTCATCGACTGGACGTTCTCTCTGTTACGGCTACGTCAACTTTGTTTCTCCTCAGGATGGTATATCTCGTGTCAATTTTTTTTTCTTTCATGTATCTGCATTGATTGCTAGGGTCTGTGGTTGTATATGTGTTGATTTTATCGATTAAAATGCTACTTAGATCGTTTGATCGGTTTTTAAATTCGTTTGATTTTGATTTGCATGTTGAATTTTGATTTGGAGTTCGTGTTGAATTGATTCATGATTGAGAAATCGGTAATTGGATTGAGTTTTTGATGTATAAGTTGTGTCATGATTGATCAGTCGATAACTGAATGTACTTTGATATACGTTTTTTATGTCATGATTGATCAATCGATGACTGAATGGACTCTGATATACAAGTTCTGTGTCGTCATTGATCAATTGATAAATTAATAGACTTGGATATACATGTTTTGTGTCATGATTGATCAATTGATAACTGAATGGAATCTGATATACATTTTTTTGTGTCATGATTAATCAATCAAAAACTGAATAGGCTTGGATATACAAGTTTTGTGATTTTGGACTTTTGTGTGTTTACGGACACCTCTCTAACTCAAGTTTTTTACTCTATTTGTCAAATCAGAAATTGATTGTATTTGTGTTGCGAATTCATGGTGATGTTTGGATGTTGTTTAAATGGATCAATAGAATAATCAGATTGTCTGAGAGTGAGAAAAAAAATAGACAGTGACTGGTCGAATGTGATTTTTTTTTTTAAAAAAGATAAAAAAATTATTTCCTATTTCCTCAGGTATGATGTTGATTTTAATATACTATTAAATGAGTTGTCTTCTGATCGGAGAAATATATAATATTAAATCTTGAGGATTTGACTATTTTTATTTGTGTGATTTTTCTGTTTCAAGTCACCTGATTTGATCTGTCACTGATGGTAGCTGTTATATGTTAGTTGGTGCTCTGTGATATGAAGAGTATATAGTTGTAGATCTTGAGATTTTATCAGTTATAACCAGAAGTTTATTGTTTTTTTTGCGGTATGAGTCGTCCTGGTAGTTTTCATTACAAGTTAGATCCTTTTTAACATTTAATGATCCCTTTTAGACCCTAGATGATTTCACTGGTTGGATGATCTTAGTGATTCCAAAATTAGGTCTGTTAATAATTTTTGCTTAATTTTTTTGGTCGTCTAGTTTCTTTGTCCTTCTAGAAAGTTGAGAATGCTGTATCAATACAAACTTCATCAACTGTTGTTTAGTTACTTTTATTGGCTTGCAACTCGTATCATTCATGAAATGTTGTGGATTAGTGGATGTGATCTGACCTGCGATTTTGGAGTCCAAGCATGAGCTAACCTTTTCTGATTGTGTTCAATGTGCTATTAAGTTTTTTCACTGATTCATGAAAGTTGATTGGCTTGATTTTTGACTTGGAAAGCTTCTGTTTTTTTTTTTCCTTCTGAAACCTATGAGCAGCTATACGTGCTATTGAGGTTAAAAACAACTCCACCCTCAATGGAAAGGTTATGAGGGTTAGTTGGTCTCTGCGTGACCCTGATGCGAGACGAAGTGGTAAAGGAAACGTGTTCATCAAGGTATCATCAAGCTTTGACTGAGTGAATAGTATTCAATTGATTTGAGATCTTAACAGGTTCTCTATTTTGATTTATATATCTAAATTGTAATTTTACAGAACATAAGTGATACAATTGACAATGCAAAGCTTCAAGAAATGTTTCAAAAGTTCGGAAATATCTTATCTTGTAAAATTGTCACTCATGAGGACGGAAAGAGTAAGGGATATGGCTTTGTCCAGTTTGGGTCGGAGGAGTCTGCCGATGCTGCTATTGAGAAGCTTAATGGGATCATGGCTGGAGACAAACAGATGTATGAGCATTTCCATATCCGTTGCAATCATCTAGCTTTCCATATTGCAATTATGATGACCTTAGATGAATTATTTGTTTTCTTTGTTTACATTTTTTTTTATTCTAGTCTATTTATTTATGATATCTTGCATTGATGGCATAGGTATGTTGGGAAGTTTGTCAAAAAAACTGACCGGGTTTCGCCCAATCCTGATGCTAAGTACACAAATTTGTACTTCAAGAACTTGGACGTTGACATCTCAGAGGAGTATCTTAGAGAAAAGTTCTCTGGGTTTGGGACGATAATTAGCCTTGTTATTGCTAAAGATGAGAGTGGAGCTCCAAAGGGTTTTGGATTTGTCAACTTTGACAATCCAGATGATGCTAGGAAAGCTGCAGAAGCAATGAACGGATCACCTGTTGGTAAGTCCTAGCTTTCTGATGTTGTTGTATTCTTAAATGTGATTGCAGCCATGCTATTTATAATTTTGTGCGGTGAAATATATTCATTAAATAGGCTCCAAGACCTTGTATGTAGCGAGAGCACAAAAGAAAGCAGAGCGCAAACAACTTCTGAAGCGCCTTTTTGAAGAGAGAAGGAGGGAACAGATAGTGAAATATCAGGTACTCATTCTCATTTCTTTATAACTAAAAGAGAATTAATTATTTATGATCTGTTTATGAAAATACTTGAATTATCATGTCAGGGTTCAAATGTGTATGTCAAGAATATTGATGATGATGTCACTGAGTATGAGCTGCACCAACTGTTTAGCCAATGTGGCACAATTACTTCTGCGAAAGTTATGCAAGATGAGAAAGGTTTGAGCAAGGGTTTTGGGTTTGTATGCTTCTCCACAGCAGAGGAGGCCTATAACGCTGTGAATACTTTTTATGGTGAGTCATACATTTTCAGTATGCTCCAGATCATAGTATCATGCACCAAAAACTCTGATGCCGCATGTTTCAATGCTTTATTTCTTCTCTATTCGTTTACTAATTAATTTGACTGAAATTTCTTTTCATTGTGTTCCTTAGTTCTGTGAAGTTTTGCGAACTTTTGACTAGTTTGATTTTACAAGAAGCCTAAATATATTCCAGTCATTTTGCAAGTAATTAGACAAATAGATAGACGAATCAGGCTAAGCCTGTGTATACTATTGGTCAAGTATATGTTTATGTGCTTATATCACACCATGTTTGCATGTACGTTGTCACCCAATAAATGTGCTTCAATTTTGGAAAGTCTATTTTCTCGCATATTTCCTCTTTTGTATTCTTCACCTACTCTTCAACATAAGGACAATTTCCATTCTTGAATTGAGTGATTTACATGCCATATGATTAGTTAGATGCCATGATCTTCAAGTATCCAATTCATCATTAAGTGATTACACTGTATGATATGATACTTATTTTTGTGAGATGTTTCACAGGATTTATGCTGCACCGAAAGCCGTTGTATGTGGCTATTGCTCAAAGGAAAGAGGAAAGACAGGCGCAGTTACAGCTACAACACGCACAACGACTCGCTGGGCTAACAGGAGCTTCAGCTATGTATCCTGGCGCATATCCTCCCCTTTACTATCCAGGCCATGGTGTTGTTCCTCAAGTACCAGCACGACCTGGGCTGATGTATCAGTCTCTTGCTATGAGGCCAGGTTGGGGTACTAATGGGTTCACAAACACCCCCAGACCTAGCTATCAACCTGCTCCAGTTCCCATGGTTAGTCCCTGTAAAGAGTCATAGCACTTGGCCATCTATACTTTCTCCACTTCTTGGAGTTTTTTGTAGGGTCAATTGGGTTCATAATTGAACACACAAATTCTTTATCCTTTTAGAAGCAATTCCAGACATGTTAAATTGAATTGACATGCTTTTGTTTAGATTTATGGTGAAGGAGGTTACAGCTTGCATCTTATTTTTCAGATTCCTAATACTTATCGACCATATCGGCAGAACAGGGGAAGGATGAATGGATATATGCCAGCTTCAAATGTGACCAATGTGCAGCCATCAGGTCAACCAGCGGTGTCATCGAAAGATTCTCAGGTAGTTGAACCTCCATACCTATTTTACATAAATTGAAAATCTTGATGTCCAAATGCAAGTGAATTGGTTATACAACTGAGATTTTCAAAAGTTCCATCTTAGTTGGTTAGGTTTGAAAAGTGGTTTAGCTTCAAAAGTGGCCTAAGTATCACTAATACTCCCAAAAAAATTTCATGCTTGCAGCGTGCTGGGCAGGTCAGATTTGCGCCGAATGGCCAGACTCGTGATGTGACCAGAGGATCTTTTGTATCAAATGCTGGTTCTATGGCAGTTGGATCTGCTGCTGATGGTACTGAAATGCTGAGTACCTTGCTTGCTTCTGCTAATTCTGATCAGCAGAAACAGATACTTGGCGAGCGCCTTTATCCTCTTGTTGGTAAACATAAGGTGATTGATTTTCTTTCTTGCTTTCCTTTTTCTTTTATATTGGTCTTCTGACATCCAGAGAATTATCAAAACTATCTTATTAACTAACAAACTAACTAACGTAACATTTTTTCTGCAGCCTGAGCTTGCTTCCAAGATAACTGGAATGCTGTTGGAGATGGACAACGCTGAACTGCTATTACTGTTGGAGTCTCCAGAATCTCTGGCAGCCAAGGTGGAGGAAGCTGTCGAGGTGCTCAAGCTCTCTAACGCAAAAGTTTCCAGCCAAGAGTCGCTTCAGCCAAGTTTTCTCTCTGCACCAGAAGTTGCAGTCAACTGACTGAGCAATGCTGCTGCTGACATATTTATCTTTAGCAAAGATAGATAGAAGTTACTAGGGGGTAAGGGGGGGGGGGGTGTAGTAGTTGAGGTTAGGGTAGTAGAGTAAGCAAGGGTTGTCATACCATCTGGCGTGGCAACCCTACTAGACTCCTTGTCTGCATGGAGTCCATATCTTTCTGCTTTGTTACAATCTAGACCGTCTCTATTTACCTTCATTATGAGGGATTTATTAGTCTCTATATGACTTTATATTATAGACAGCTTAACTTAATGCAGACCTTTTTAAATCCAGTGTTTCTTCTTTTAAATTTGTCTTCAAATATCTTCTCTAGATGAATTTTGTGCATGCAGCTATGTATACTTTTGTGAAGTAGTCATACTACTTCATCTTCAACAGAAGTCTAGATTGCCTACGGGGCTATATTGAAGTACATTTCTTTCGTATTGACATCTCTATTGTCGGGATGTTGCATTCATGCTGCAGGTTATACAGTCGAATTTGAGATGACATTTAAAACATGTTCTTGAAAGTTACTTATTTTCTGCCATTATTTCCTTACTTTGCTTTAACAAATATTGAACCATATTGCAAGCTTATTTATGGGAAGGGTGTTGATTAGACAGATATTTATTAATGACCAAATATTTGCATTGAATCTTCAAGTGTTTTGGTTAGTGAGGAATTTGTTATTTTTAGTAGCTCTAGGTTTATTTTCTATTTTTCATGTACTTATTAAGGTTTTACCCTTGTCCTAACCTAGTTCATATTTTCAAAAAACATGGAAGCTTATAGATTTCCTAAAGTACAAGGTACAATGATATGTAGTATAGGTTAAGTTTCAATATGGATATTTAAGGGCGTGTTCGATACTACGGAGGAAATATTTTTTGGAAAATGTTCTTATACTTTTTCCGTGTTTGGTTGATTAATAGGAGGTTGTTGAAGAAACAAATTAAAGTGGAAGCTAGGGTTAGTTAGTAGGTAGCTAGTAGGACGTAGTCTCGTTTATTTTTCCATTCTAGTAGTCGTAGTTTTCTCATGGAATTTCTTGTCCTTTCAATGCTTGTTATTACTTGTTGTTTCTTTCTATCAAAATGTTTTGACATGATATTTATAGTAGTAATTGTCATGACTTCTTCACTCCAATTTATTTTATCTTTTCTTGTATAGTATTACCAGGTAAATAGCCTTCGTTTCGCACAGTATTGGTGAACTACCCCAAGTAGCTCACATCTTATTGTATTTTTTGTGTAGTTGATAAAGTTATGGATAATACCAAATTAAAACACATCTCTTTTAGTTGGAGGTACAAACATATGATCATTTCGATCAGATGATGTCTAAGGATATATATACATCCGGGAGAATATTGTCATTTTGGCTTTCACACTGCATCGGTTGAGACATCTCTTATTTACAAATGTTTGGCAACATATGTCCAGATTTTTTAGTTTATATGATTTAATTGTTTCAAGAAGACATATATCATATATATATTGGATAACTTATACTTTACTATAACTTGCACGTAAAAAATCATGTTACCAAAGCTATACAGCTTTCAGATTGTCTTAGCACTATTTATCTATGAAGAGATATCGAAGAATTGTCAATCGATTTTTGCTGCTTGTTTGTTACATGTCTTTTATCTGTCTGCACAAAATTGATGAGTTCATTATCATTGGGGAAATTAGCTCAAAAAATTTATACTAGTCAACATTTTCTTCACCAAAGTAGATTTAGTCCCTCTATAACAATTACAAAAATAGTATCCTATTAGATTCAATAGGTATTCAAATAATAGAGATAATAAACAAATGTTGTCTTTGTAGATGGAATCCAAAATAAGTTAACAAAATTTTCCACAAGAGTAGCCAAGACATATAGTGTTTCTCAATGTGTTATATTACTCAATATAGATACGACATCTTATAGGCTAACATATTCTCTTTGTAAAGGAGAAAATCATTTTTCTTCCAAGTCTACATACAATATCAACTTAGTATTTGTTACGAACAAGGGTTGTGGTAGAGTGGTAAGTACTCAATCATTTTTCTTCCAAGTCTACATACAATATCAACTTAGTATTTGTTACGAACAAGGGTTGTGGTAGAGTGGTAAGACTCGGGTACGGAGTCCCCTTTGTTAGGGAGCGTTTTACCGTCCAATGTGGGACTTCCCGGAGCGAATCCAAATTTAATCGGGCTTCAATGTGGACACTGGACACCGGGTGGAAAACCAAAAAAAACTTAGTATTTGTTGAAGTAATGAAGATATTGTGATTGAACTCTAGCTTTAAACATTACCATACTACTATTGCTAGACTCTAATAAGAGTCACCCCATAACACTCCATGCAGTGGCAGAGTCAGAATTTTTAATAAGGGGTTCAAAATCTGAAGAAATAGACACACGAAGTAGCTGAAGGGGGTTCGGCATCTACTATATATACCTAAAAGTTTATTTTAACCATATATAAATAATATAATTTTCCGCCGAAGAGGGTTCGAATGAATCCCGACTATAAGGCATAAAAAAACACTTGTTTACTTGTAAACGCGATGCATATATGTATGTGGGTGAATACCGATTTTTCTATTGGTTCAATATGCAATCTTACGTATTATCGAATACAAAAAAATAAATAAAGCAATTCATTTATTTTCCTAAAAACAATATTTTTCGTCGTATCGAACATGTACTAAAAGTTAAGTATTGTTACCCTCTTTGTAAAAATTAGGTCGAAATATCGCTTATCTTATCAAAGATGTAGAAAATTAACTCGCTTTAGCAAGCCAATCTAAATTTGATATTTTTGCATTTGTCATCTAGTTTTATCTTTGGTCAATTATTAATGAATATTTGCATCATCTTGTGGGATATTATTTTATTTTTTGTTATTATATGTCATTTAAATCTCAAACTCATAAAACCTATGTTTTTACTTCTTTTTCATTTTATATGGTATAGCAAGAGTATTCGTTTAAATTTATATTTAATGCAAATAGCTTTAAGCCTTTAAGAACATTGCATTTTAACATTAAAAAATTACTTATCAAATTATTCTTTCTGTTCCAATTTAAGTATCATTTTAACTTTTTTTTAACCTTAGAAAAATAATAAATATAATGTATATGTTCGAAGGTTTTGGGCTTGTGACATAGCAACTTTAACTATTAATGACAAAGCGTAGTAATTAGTTGCACATATATTACGTTCATAATTATTAAAGAGGAGGCTCACATGCTTATCTGAACGAGTTATATCAAATAATACTGATCTTTATCATGATTAACAAAGACGAATTATTAAATTATTGTTTGTGATAACCATGTTTGTTATGAAACACGTCTCCACATATATTTATTGATATAACCACGAATAAAAATCATATACAAATATTAATAGCATATATTATATAATTATATTTATCTTTTTATGGGAAAATAAAGTACTAAAATGAAACAAATAAATAAAAAGTCATGGACAACCAAATAAAAATTAGTAGCTAAAAGCACACGAGTAGATATATAATTTATAGTTACCGAATTCAATTTTTAAATTTTAATAATTTTTCACACACGTGTGTGAAATTTTTAAATTTTTAATAAATATTAAATTTGAAAAATATAAAAACTTTAAATATTAAATTATTAATTTACTCCTCTAAAAATATATAGAGTGAACACATTAGAGGAATAAACTTTGTAATATTGTAAATTAGTGATCTTTTTTAATTGCATAACATGGTAAAAATATTCTCTTACCATCCATACTCCTTCAACTCCATATTTTACATGAATTCATATGTTATATTATTAGATCCACATATGAATATGGATATATATAATTGTTTTAATCATATAAAATATATATCAATTTGAGACATAAAATAAAATATTCTTAGTCCAAATAAAATTGTGTTTGTGGTTGTAAACGAGTAAGGGAGAAATTATAGAGAAACATATCATTGAAAGGGTTTGAAAGATTAAAAATTAATTAATAAAATAACAATCTCATCCTTATTTTTAGTTATTTGGTTGGCTGGTTGATTAGATGTGTGTTTGTTTCTAAATAGGAACAAACACACATATAATCAACCAACCAACCACCAAATAACTAAAAATAAGAATGAGATTGTTTTCTATTAATTAATTTTGTGCTTTTTTTCTTTCTTTTGAGGTTAATATTTCACAGAAAACATTTAGAAAATTACTATGTAGTAGTGTAATATTTTTATAAGGTATAATGTTTTAAATTTAATATAAATATCTAATAGTAATAGTGTTATTAGAGTAATGTTTTAAATTTAAAATAAAAATATGATAGTAATAGTGCTATTAGAGTTATTTCTAAGGTAATAAGTTAGTCATGTGTATGTAATACATTACCTTAGATCTTGTTACATAAATTTTTTTATCTAATAGTATGAAGATTTAAGTAGTTTAATTCAAGATCTAAAATATTTTTACTATTGAAAAACAAATCTGTAAAGACCCATTTGGTCGTTTTGAGTACTAAAACTTTGTATTTCGTAAAAAACTCTTCCGATAGACTTTAAATGGATATTTTGGACTATTCGAAATTACAATTATGAAATTAGTGGGGTAGTTTTTATAATTAAATTAGTTGGTGGTTATAGAAGATAGCATTAAAACAAATAGTGAGTCACTGTTATCACTTTTTATAATTGGTTATATGATAATTAGGGTGGTAACTGATCTGTAGAAAAGGGAGAAAATTAAAATAGAGAGGAGCTGCACGATTGTGAGAAAAACCAGTTCTAGAAACGGCTTCAGGTGATTTTTCTTACCTTAATCTCTCCTAGTTATATTAATGATATGCATGTACTTTATTGATTAGAGAACGGTAGATGCTATTGGAATTTATTGTGTAAGTGACTTCTCCCGTATTGCAATTCAACTAGGTTCCATAGAAAACATTGTCGGCAAATTATATATATAGTATACTGAGTAAAGGCTAATGAATTGAGTTTGGTTGTTGTGGCGGTATAATTAATTTAATAATTGGTTGAGTAGCAGTGAGTGAGGTCCATGGTTTAAGCATA